TACTGTATTGTAATTTTTTTTGATAAAGCTTTAAAATACAAAAATACATTACTGCTTGATTTCTAACCAATTAGGGACGAATTGAGAATCAATTAAGAATGGTCTATTTATGTAAGGGACGAATTGAGAAAAATATTTTAGAGCAGAATCGTCTAATTGACTAATTTGGTACAAATCGAGAGTAAACCTTTAAATAAGTTCACGCAAATTTGAAAATTTGTAAGGGCATATAAATTTAGCATAGAAGCAATCAATAATTGATGATAAATCACCATTAACTTTTATTTTATTCAAAAAAAAACAAAACAGCTGAAAAAAAACGTTACAAAGAACTAGATCCACACAATTGCAAGGTCATTTTCATGAAATTTGTAAAAAATTCGATGTGAGCATGCAAAGCTTCGGATACATTTATAAGTTGTAGAAGCTGTAATGTCAGTAGATAGACCATTAATCAAATGTTCAATAACTATAGTTGATAATGTCTTTGGCATTTTTGTTAAAAATTCACGTAAATATGGCATCGTATCAACATGAAAACTAATTTGTTCCATAGAACGAAACGAAGAGCATAACATATCTACTTCATTCGATGTTAAGCCTTTTTCCATAAATCTAGCAGACCACATCTGACGCCTTGGCAATATTTTTAATCGTTTAATATTTCGCCAACAATTGTTCAACGATAATCTGAGAAGATCAATTGGAATAGTAATAGAACGCAAATGAGGTATATTCATTATAAATTGAACGAAATTATCTTCATCAAATTCTGAAAAACATTGATTGATAGCAAATGAATTAATAAACGACATATCAATATATGGAACAATATCATTGATTAGCATATCAAAACTTTTTTCACCATCTTCAAGAATTAATTCTTCAATGTTAGTAAAACGATTTCGAAGTTCATTGTTTATTGGTCGTTGATAATCAACAATTAAACGATTTACATTAGAAAATACTATCGGTTGTTGTCCAGTTGATTCGGATACAATCGTTTCTTTCATACGA